AAGGAAACATAAAACACATAACAAAACTCTGTGTACTTAACTATACCTCTATAATTATACCTCTGTTTTAGTTAAGAGTTTGACTTAACTGTTAGTGTTAACACATGAAGTGTGGTAGCCATAACAGTGAAACATGTACATAAAAGAATACATTGATTAATTCCCCTCATCAAGACAGGGGTAAGCATACTAAACAGCCCTCAACATTGCTGAGTGGCCTCTGAAGAATTACTTATCTAGTGTGTTTGCCTTGGGCCCTGCTTCCTGTCTTAGTTATATTTACTTTCTGTGAATTCTGGGAGACCAAATCATGATGCTTTTAGTGTTTGCATCCAGAATGTAAAGTCACTTTAAAAAAATTTTTTTTTTTATGCAAGCATTATTGCAATTTGGAGCTTAGGGAATCCGGTTTAAAGCAAGGGTCGGCTTGTAGATGGGACTGTCCTCATAGAAGTAGAATGAGGCACAGCTTAAGTATTGTTCTTTTGGAAGACTTCAGATGGGATTAATTTACACATGAACTCATTGAATCTTCATAGTATCCTTGTGAGGTAGGTACTACTATTATCCTTATGTTACAAATGAGAAAACAATCTCAAGAGATGGGTGACTTGCCCAAGCAATAAACAGTGGAATCACTGGTTTTAATGTCCCTGTATTGAAGGGGGGTAATATATTTTTCTTGTTCCCTTNTTTCTTTTTCCTGTTCTGATTGGATATTTTGTGCTACCTTATCTTCTAAATTGCTGATTCGATCATCTGCTTTATCTAATCTATTTATTACCTGTGTTGTATTCTTCATTTCCATTGTATTCTTTATTTCTGACTGGTTCTTTTTTAAGTTTTCTATCTCCATTTTTATGTTTCCTATCTCTTTGTTGAAGTTCTCCCTGAGATCATTGCGCATCCTTATAACCAGTGTCTCAATTCTGTATCTGGTAGATTGCTTGTCTGCAATTTTAGTTCTTTTTCTGGAGTTTTGTTCTATTCTTTCATTTGGGACATGTTTCTTTGTCTTCCCATTTTGGCTGCCTCCCTGTGTTTGTTCTATGTATTAGATAGAGCTGCTGCTATGTCTCCTGGCCTTAGTGTAGTGGCCTTATGTATTAGGTGTCCTGTGGAGCCCAGTGGTGCAGTTTGCCTGGTCACCAGAGCCAGGTGCTCCAAGTTTGTCTATTATGTGGGTTGTATGTGCCCTCCTGTTGTAGTTGAGCCTTGATTGCTGTTGGCATGTCAGTAGGAGGGGTTGATTCTCAGGCTGATTGGTTGGGAGGACTGGCTGTGACTACGTGGAGGAGCTGTTATGCAGGGGCTGACCCTACAGAGCAAGGTTCACTTTAGCAGTGCTCTGGTGCCTGCCCAGTCTGCCCTTTGGGTGTGCCGTCCTTGGAGGTGGCCGGGTGATGCTCCAGCTCGGTCTGAAGCTGGCCACCAGAGGTGCCAGCCAACCCCTGAGTCCCCTGGGAGGGGTCCCACCACAGGTCTAGTGAAGCCTGTATTTCATAAAATAGGATAATGATTTTAAATGTATAAAATAAAATGTAAAGGGTTATAAAAGAAACCA